TTGTAGAGCCGACTCAGCCGTGCAGAAAAAAAAAGATCTTTTCAGCTCCAAGCTGATGTATTCTCTACACACTTATCGGTTTGGAAAAGCCGACATTTGCAAACTGGATGCTTTTCAGGCTCGGTGTCTCCGTCAGATTCTACGCATCCCACCCTCACTAGTGAGTCGTGTTACAAACGAACATGTTCTGCGACAGGCAAACTGTGTCAAATTATCCCGCGTTCTGCAACAACGACAGCTGCAACTTCTGGGGCGTATTGCGCAGCTCCCGTCAGAGGATGTCATGTGCAAGTGTGTGTTTCGAGATGGTTCCTTTCAACTGACACTGTCTGCTTCTGCTCGACGACGCGGTAGACCACGACACACCTGGGCCACAGCAGTGTACAGACTTGCCTTAGATGTCGCGGGTTTTACACAAAATTTGATTGACATTTGGCAGCAGCCTTCAATCGTATGGCGTCGCTGCGTCCAAACATATTGCACGCGCTAAGCGCCTGTAAGACGGTATGTCTGCCCATGTGTTTGTACACGAGGCTTACTGACTGACTGACTGACTGGAGTGGACCGACCCCCCTTTCTCCGCAGGAACGCATCATAATTTTATGTATTCACACACGGACGCTGCATGCCAAGGAGTGTAGTATTTTTTTTTCAGACGGTTTTTTTCTTGCATGGCAGGGCTTTGGCCAGGTCAAGGACGCGGTCGAGGAACGGGCCTATTGCGCGGGCTCGGCGACGGAAAATATGCTACCATCGTCGCGTCCACCCTAAGCCGCAGCAGCACCTCGTGCTGCCGGCGCCGTGCACTCCCGCGCCCGGACGAGGCCCCGGAGCAAGTAGTGCATGCGCGTCGCCATTAGCTTCCATGCGTGAGTGTCACAAGTGCCTCGCGATAGGCACCGATGGCAGAATCTTGCGCATGTAGCACCGGGAAGTCTACATAGAATCGGTCCGTGAATTTCCGGAGCTGCTTGTTGGCTGGCGTCAACGGCGATGTTTTCCGGGAAGTGTCGTTGACTGAAATTGGGCAACATATGTAGTGGCAGCTCACGCAAGCAATCCCGCACGAATGCTTTCGTCGCAATGTAGCTTTTCTCTCCCGGAGCCATTTCGCCAACATCTGCGCACGGAGCTTAAAACTCACCCCATGCGCGAGGCGAGTGCCGGCACGAATTTCGACCAGGTCCACCGGTGTGGCAAAAGAACAAGCGTTCCCAGATCACAGAACTCCGGCCATACATTGACCAACGCAGCGCACCCTAATTGCTTCAGTCGGGGTCCGTGAGGCCACATGATCACTGTTATATGCGAACATCCATTTATCGCAGCTGCATGTTTCCAGTGTGGATTTTTTTGTTCCCGCCGGCATGGTGGCTGTCCTACTGCGCGCCGGGAATCAAACAAGGTCCAGGTCCCGGAGCGTGGGTAAGGACGCACGAGAGGCGCCCGACTTCAACGAGATCCTCGCCGAGGTCCGGGGCAGCCCCCGCGGATCTCAAGCGGCCTGCCGGCAAGCTGAGCCCGTAGGTTGCAGCTTTCATAGACTGGAACTGCGGTCACTGTCCGAAAAGAGGTGCGGAGAAAAAACAAAAAGTGAGGGAGGTTTCGACATGAGTGTAGGCACATGGGAATTGGAGTTCGAGGCAGGGCAAGCGTGCACATCCCGCTTCATTGTCAAGCTGTGTGATGCAGTATGTGTAGATGTTGTTCGTTAACGCCCTGATGGCATGCGTCTGCACGACTCCACTTTCACAGCTGTGGACCGAGACTTTGCAACATGAGTTCGCGAGGGTGGCCCGCAGAAACTTCTGGTTCTCGGATGCAAAATGCATAAGAGGTTTCGTTCACTGTCTCATCCGCCTCCGAGCTCTTCACGTGTGGGGCCTGCGTCCGCTGGCTCGGCCAAACGTTGGTGGGTGGTCAGCACGGCCTTGCAGCGCAGGAGCTTGTGCTCGGCCTTGCCCGGTGACGAGGGGCACTGTCTTGCCGGCAGAAGCCCGCCTAAGACAAAGTTCCAACCGCCGCCGTAGGCGGGCCGACTGGGGGCCTGGCCAATCCTGGCCCCTGATTCGCTCGCAGGCGCAAACAACGCTCGCGCACTTTGCGGTCCAGTAGCCCAGTCCCGCTTACTAGTAGTTTGCAATAGACAGCTCCCGAAGATGTGACCACCATGTGTTCCAGACGCACCGCAGGAGTGGTGTTGCTGCTGTCCCAGGCGTATCCCAAACCCCAGGCCGCATTTTGCGTCACGGTCCACCGTACCCACGAACGGTGTACTTCATTATTTCGGAAGTCAGCACAATTTTTTTTTGTTGACATGTTTTTCTCCGTCCACCTGACGGTGTCCTTTCCGTGACGTCGGGCCCGTGGTCCCCCAGGCCATGAGGTGGCCGTCGCAGCAACTATGCTGTAGCCGGTTGTGCAGTTGTGCCGCACTTTTTTGCATGCCGGTAGAAGCCATCAAACGCACCCGCTTGCAATCCTGTTAAGTTCCGGGCTCGGGTGTTTAAGTTTTGGGCCACGGCACTAAGGCTCAGGGTGTGATTAGATGGTAACGACCTGTGGGTGCCATTATGGTAATAGTTCTTATGCGTATATGTGGTGTATATTATATATGTACTTGGTCCACTTGGTTGTAACTTGTGTTTATGGAGCATGTGCAGCCAAGCAGGCCATGTCAATCCATGTCATGCCAGCAGCGAAACAAAACGAACGGGACACACCGCACGGTTGTCACATGGAAGAACTGAAGGCTGGTGCCAAGCCGTGGTCCCTGAGAAGATCGGTGTTGTAGTTGCGAGGCAGACTTGAAGCTGATAGATGCCGAATTGCCCAAGGCCCCGCTGTCCATAGCGATTTCTTTCCGGCCCAGTATGTGAAGCAATCGCTGCTCCCAGACTCTCAGGGCACTTGCGAAATAGAGTTGGTGGATTCCGATTTGTTCCACTGGGAGGCCGTGGCAGAACTGCGGCATTTGGCGGAATGGATCCATTCAGCAGTTCCATGCAATGTTTTGCAGGTAGCTTTGGCCGGACCAATTGGTAGCCCGCAGCTTGCCTGCGAAAGTAACTTGTTGCCAACCGCTAATGTTCCAGATGTTGGTTTGCAGCATGCAGGTACAAAGGTGGCACCTTCAGATTCCAAATATGGTACCCTTGGCAGCTTTATGGAGGGCTGCATGGTGTTATGACGTTGCAGTATGGGACAGGTACCCCATCGACTATCCAAAGAAACCGCCCCGGCTGAAGTGCTTGACGCCCGTGTGCGCCTGGTCTCGGCCACGATGTTGTGTTGATCATTCCATCGGCACCGGTGCAGGTACCATTGCAACATTGACGCAAAAGGAACCGTGTGCCGGGGACACGGCATATCTGTGCCGGCTGGGGAAGGGCAGAACAGGACTGCGAGTTGCACGGCATTGTGTGGCAGAACTCTTGAATCGCATTGTTGAAGGCTTGGACTTGACAGACGACCTTTTGCGTTTGAAACCGTCTGATGATACAGAGGTGGCGGATGTGTGCTTCGCTTTGTGTCATTGCAGCATTTTAAATGCTAAATTTTAGCTTGATGTCGACGGATCTTTGACAGAGGAGCTCAGTTCAACACGGATTTCAGCCCTTTGTTTGGTGCAGGCCTCTCCGGGTTCTCACACAGATTTCCAATACAATTGATTCACGGCACAGAGCACGGCTCCGGCTCCAGGCTTTGCTGTCATTGCCCGGATCTGATCCATTCCACTTGTCGGCAATGTGCTGATGTGGATAGCGAATAGTGCTCTCGACTGAAGGTTTGCCGCACCGGTGCCTGAAGATGGCCTGGTCGCAGAAGCAAGCAAATTGTGCCCCGGTGATGTGTTGCGATGTGTGTTTGGCAGTGTTGGGCAGTAAGACGGCAAACTTCATGGCCTTGGAACGCTTGCTCGGTTTAGAAGCTGCTTGTCCAGGTACATATGTGACAGACAAGAGTACAATCGCCGAGCGCACGAATGGACCATGAAGCATGCCTTCTGAATCACAGACGGCTCTTGTGTAGCAGCGCCATGAAAAGGAAGTGGCTGCGTGATCGGACGCGTCGCGACCAAGGGGGTCTTGATTTTGTGATGGCACACATCCAAGTATGCGTAAGCAGCCCGAGCTTACTCACGGTGTATGGGACCTCTAGGCTCAGAAGCTGTTCCGCTGCATCTTGCGCAGCCTTGGTCCTGTCGTATGAGAAGGGCAAGGGCCGTGCTGACACTTGGAGCCATGATGTGACACGCATGTCAGACGCCGTCAGACCTGCATCAGATCTCAGAGATATTTGGGAGGTTGCCCCTTCGGCCCATCAAGCCATACTTGAATTCAGCAGTGTTCCCTTTCCCGGATTGTACTAGTACATGTGCATCGCGTCTCCGTTGATCGAGGTTGGTGGCGCAGGTCACGGAGGCATTGTTGTTCGACGAGGTCGTGACTTGGGGAGCACGCTGCTCCACTCCAGATTGGGCCAAGGTTCAGTTGTGCAACAAGTTTCGCTGATCCACGGGCGCTTGCCACTCGTCAGAAGTCGCTTTCTCCGTTTGCTTTCCAGCAGAAGCCAGTCTATCTATGTATATATATATATGGCTTGCAGCTCAGTGCAAGCTAAGCCCTGTGCAAGCATGACAGGCGCTACGTCAAAATTTCTGGCGAGGGTCCCGATCATGGTTGGGTGAGCCTTCGATCTGGCGGAAAGCAGCTTTTGCGGCATGTCGATGCTGCTTGATCAAACATCCGAACTCATTTTCCAATGGCTTAGTTGTCACGATACCTGGCGGTTGCTCGGGCAACGGCTCAGGTAGTATCATCGACGAAGCTGCGTACTCGGTCATTCGGAAGCTTGGTGGCTATCCGTAGGTTTTCCGAGCCATATGCAAGCGCATAACATATGGAGACTTGGCTGCGTAGCGAAGGCTCGTAGTTTTTGCCCTTGGAAGTGTCGCATCGATGTAAGTCGAGACAGGCTGAGCATTCGCTCACTTGGTTGCATCGTTCTTTGGTCTACGTTCCGGTAGTCTAGTTCATCGGAAGGCCGGCCGGCGAGCGTATTGCGGTGTGCGCTTGACAGAAGTGCTACCAGTACGGGCTTTGCTTTGATGCAGCTCCGAGCCGATTGATGGATATCTCAAAGAACCGGTTAGGCGTGTTCACAACTTCATAAATGCACAACTACAGGAACATCATCGATGCCAGTAGAACGGGTTCTAGCATGTGATGTTATAGCCATATCTCATCACCGAATAATTTGCGTTTCCAGTTTTCCATTTCCATGGCGCCTTCATCCAATAATAATGCCCACCCAATTTCGGACCATGCCGAATCAATGTATTCTAATTTCCAGAATTCCGCTATTCCGGGCCCCTGCGAAACAATGGGTCACTATGTGGTCGCATTTGGGGCCTCCAAAAAATTCAATGGAGGCACCCTTTCGCCCGGTGATGTGCAACTTGAAAAAAGCATGCAAGGCAGCCTGCCTGACCCCTTCAGTTTTCGGCAGCAAGGAGAAAAACACCAACATACATCACAAGACAAGTCGCGACTGCATCCAGTTTTTCGTGGCAGGCTGTTCCCATACGGCCGTGAATGAGGGTGCGAGAGGCTTTCAATTCGCATCCCTGCATCTTCTGCTCGCATCAGGAAGCCCGGGCTTGATCCTTTGCATAGGGGACTCCTTGACGGCCGGTGGATATCCTACGCTCCTCCAGGGCTTGTTGTCCGATGCCAGCCCTGCCGTTGTGTGCCTCGCCTTACCATATCCAGATCGGACGAAGCTCCTTGAAGAAGGGATCCGAATCTGCATGCGCTAAGGGCTTCTTTCTCTCATCGACTGTCAGGAAAGACTTTGGCGTGCGCGGCGCATCGGTCTTGCCCATGGCTGGAGGACCATGTGTCGCATATTCCAGCTTAGCTCGGCTGGATGCAGAATTGCGGTGCAACCCTCCCGATGTCACTCGCTTGAAACCAGCCGGTCTGCGAGGCTGTGAGGGGTGCTGTTTAGGTTTTTATTTCCCCAGCAAAGGCGATTATTGTCATGCTCGGCACGAACGATGCTCGGTCGGCTCATTGGGATGCAGAGGCAGCCGTCCAGAGAGTGATGTTGTCTGTAGGCAACGTCACTGCGAGGTATTATCATTTGTAGTTTTTTGCTTGCCAGGCGTTCCAGATGGAGTACTGCGCTCTTCTGCAACGACTTGAAGGGTTGGAGCTCGAACCAGATGCTGTGGGCAGCCGACGGTTGGTGCTCATCGCAGTGCCTCCGAGGTGCATGGGTGCATGTTGAGAGAAGATGGGACACTGCATGTAATGTATCGTTTTGGTGTTCAGTGTGGCTTGACCATGCAGCATACTTTCCAGCAGACCTCTGCCCGCTGGGTCGCATATTCACCGGTATGTACCGACCGAGACATGCAATGCAAGTCTACATGTGCAGCCAGCTGTAAGGCTGTAACTGCGCTTGGCATGTGCATGTCCGAAGAGAGAGAGACGCGTGCTGGTATTTTTGGTGCCGCTTGACAGTGCTAGCCTGTGCATCCCTTGGCAGAGTCACATCGAACGCTTGGGGCATTGATGTTGACATCGCGGACAACGACCTTGCAAATGCAGATGCCCGAGAACACGACAACCCTAGTTTGCATGATGTTGGAAGGTTGCAGAACATGTTAAGAATAAAATAGCTGGTATCTGGCACCGAGGCTGTGGAAGTGGTTGCGCAAAAGATGGGGATGTGCTGGCCCGAGTTCTGTGACTGTTCGGGAAGTCCATGACCTTAGGTCTACTGAGTGTATCACTTCGTTTTGCAACACTTTTGCGATGACAGGGCCTTAGTCAATCTGCGGGATGTTCTCGATCCAATTGCAGCATTCGTCTCTGATGGCGTTCACCTTACGCAGGCCAGGGGTTGCAGCAGCAGCTGGGTGTGTCCTGCTTATTCTTGCAACACTGGCTGGTGGAAATTATGAAATTCAGCAGGCTGGTTCGGCTTTGGTCGCAGAGAATGCCAAGCGAGCCCTTCTTCCTGCCATTTGCTGCGAGCTGGGCGGGAGCTGTGTTGGGAAAAAGGCGCAGGATACACAGAGCAGGTGCTCCACATGAACTTGCCGGGCGATTAGGGTTAGGTTAAAGATTAGGTTTCATGCCGAAGCTTTCGAAATTGGACCAGCTGCACGAAGTCGTCAGTGAACATGATTTCAAACATGCATGACCGACACGACCTCGGAGAAGGCTAAAGCAAAGCCCCAGGCTGGCATCATCGTTCATCACCGAAACCGATTGTGCCTGCCACACTTTCATGCATGCACCGTTGCAGATGAACCAATGGTCGCATGGCCAGTGCCTTCCAGCGGTTTGAATTGTTGCGGCGCAAGCAGCTCACGCCAACGGAGCCTTCACTCAAAGCTGAACGGGTTTTCTGCCGCACGTTTTTGTAGAGCCGTGTTTTTGCAGGTTCTGAGCTTTCGTGGTGCTGGTTGGGGCACGCAGGCATGCCTCCTGCGCTTCGCCGTTCCGGGTGGGCAGCCCCTCGGTGGCTATGACCGGACAGCTCCCACAGGACTCTCGGGAATTCGGACGAGATGCCCTGGGTTGGTGCGACTTGCGCCCCATCCTGGTGGACAGGTGTCAAGGTGCAGCTGCTGAGCCAGGACGGTTCGAGCTTGGAGAAGTCTTACTCTCCGGTCTCGCATCCGTCTCAGGCCACCGGGAAGCTGTCTCCTCTCTGTCGGCTCTAAAGTGCCCATATTTTCTGGGGGGCCTGGCAGGTCGGGTTCTTTGACTTGCTTGTGCGCGCCTACCCTCCGAGACCTGGGGGCGGGCTTGGTGCATACCTCTGTGGCTTGAGGCCAGGGCAGGCTGCTCTCATGAGCCTTGTCCTGAATACGACCCTTCAAAATGCTACGTCCATCTTTGAAGCAGCAAGTTTCGGAGACCCGCCTCCGAGGAAAGTGAAGCCCGATCCTTGGCGGCGCACTGCGGGAGAGAGAAGGCGCAGAGTTTCGTTTCGAGGCTGGTGGGTCTCGGAGCTCAGGAAAGCTTCAGCAGCCTTTGCGGAGCTCCGCTGCGACCGGGCCGCTGGGACCGGCTAGGCCTCATAGCAGCCGGCACGGGTCTGGCACCGCTGCTGCAGGTCGTCCCTGCCCCAATGACAGAAGCAGCTTGGCGGATCTCTTTGACTGCTGCCACTCAAGGCACGGGAAGCGCTCTCATGGAGGGACACCACCCGACGCTTGGCTTGCAAACGCGGCAAGCGCCATTTGCCAGAATTTGCCAGCATGGAAATGAGCACCCAAAGTTGTTTCTTACTGATCTGGCTGCGGGTTCCGAGTGCGGGCGGATTTGGAATTGCCCAGGACTCTCACTGGTTTTAGCCTGTCGCAGCGAATCCGAAATCCTTATGCGTGAGGCAGGGAAACGGCAGGCGGTTTGCATCACCTGTGCCTGAGTCCGCCATGCCAGGAACTTGAGCTGCTGGCTCAGAATCCCGCAATCCGCATCTCGTACCAGCTGAGCAAGCCTGGACCCGGATGGTTCGGTTCACAGACATACAGTCAACTTGCAATAGTCGACGAATCGCTGTGACTGATGTCAGGCCCTCCGATTGCAGTGGCCGCCTGTCAAAAGCTGTGCTAGAGCAAAGTTTGCCTTCGCCAGACTCTCGCGGTGCCCTCAGTCCGATTAGGTTGATGGCTTCGTAATTTCCCGACAATGCCACGCATTGACATGTAGGTGATTTGTGGTCGCAAAGTCTCCGAAGCTGTCACGTGTGCGGACACGACCAAAGCAAGACAGTGTAAGCGTGCAGCCTTGCAGCTCGAGCATAGCGTCTTGCCCGACTCTTGACTGCCCTTGCCTCGGCGTAAATTGAAGTTGGACACGCCTCCTTCCCAGCCGCACCATGTTGGTGTCGCTTCGTGGGGCAACACATGCACGCGATAGTCGCAGCAGTACATCTAGGAGGTCGAGGGAGTGGACCAGCCACAGGCTCCAAGGCAACATCACCGGAAAAAGCGCAGCTGGCAGCATTGCTGAAGCTGAGAAGTTATGTGACTGTCGGTACAGTGGAGAAGGCCATCTCTCCTGTTTTGAAGAAGTGGCATGCCCAGCCGGCAATGGCCACACACGTGCTTACACGCCTGCGACAAGCAAGACGAGCTCTCACCGCATGGCAAGTGCTCCAGGTTATGCGGAGCAGTGGTATAGAGACGAATGTGATACACTACAGCAGTGTCATCATAGCATGTGAAAATCAGGGTGCCTGGCAGCTCGCTCTGGATTTGGTGGGCTCCATGGTCTTGTCTAGAATCGAGCATGATGTGATCAGCATGAGTTCCGCCATCAGTGCCTGTGAGAAAGCACTTTGGCCAAAGTTTCAGTGCCTGCTTGAATGTTCTTGACAAGTCGAAGGCTTTACCATACGTGTTCATATTTCCGGGACTTGGCAATCTTAGCCTGACGTGCCTTCATGCCCCCAGAAGTGGCAACGCCACATGCACTTCATTTAACGAGACGTTTGCCTGAGTAATCTTTCCGTGGAGAGGTTCTCTGCTTTCAGCTTAGAGCCCTTTTCTGGGTGGAGGAAGGGGGAGATCTTCATAACAAGAGGATGGTAATAGCGTAAGCCTTGCAAGTTAGGAGGGCAAGCTCCGAGCAGGGGCTGAAGATCAGCGTAGCATAGCGTAGCTGGAGTAGTTACAGAATGTGACAAACCACTCGTTACCTAGCCTAGCCGGCCGAAGCTGCCATCGCGCACAGGTTGGGCAGTGGGAGCGAGCTCTTGCCCTGCTTGAGACGATGAAGAAGCAACGCATTTGGCCAAACGTGGTGAGTTACAGTGCAGCGATATCTGCATGCGAGAAGAAGGGTGAATGGCAACAAGCTGTGCAACTGCTTGAGGCTATGCATGAGCATCGCGTGTCGCCAAATGATATTACCTGCAATAGTGCGATCAGCTCATGCGAGTTGCAGGGGCAGTGGTTGGTTGCCGTCGACTTGCTGAACATGATGCCCGCGCTTGGGGTTTCGCCGGATGTGATCTCTTTCAACAGTGCTTTGAGCTCGTGCGAGGAGACTGGGTTCTGGCAACTGGCCTTGAACCTCCTGTCGGGGATGCAACACGCCCAGCTGGCTCCCAACATACGCACTTGCAACAGCGTAATGAACACTTTGCAAGCAGATGGCCAGTGGCAGCGAGCCTGGAGTCTGCTAAGCCTTATGAGATTGAAGGTCATCATTCCTGATGTCACCACCTGCAGCAGAGCCATTGACTGCTGCGAGAGGGGCAGCAGGTGGCAGCTCGTTGCAGCTTTGGTGTGCTCAATGCAGGAAGTAAACCTTGAGAAGACACTGAGGTCAATGTATGCAGACCGTCTAAGATTCCTGAGCCGTCAAAGCTTGCGCATAAAACCGGTGTGCCTGTGTTTTGTAGCCTTGGGCCTTCACAACTGTCCAGAGAACATCAGAGAACCGACCCCATGTGCTATCATGGCGTTGTCTGACCGAGGCTGCTTGATTCTGGTTTGCGGCACGGATGGCTTCGTTGAAAGTATGGCGGGGCCTGTCGAACGCGTGAAAACGCCGGATGGTCAGAAGAGGCCCGGCCGATCCTTGCAAGGGTAGGCATGGGCTGTGAAGTTCCATTCGAGGAAGCAGCAGGGAAAGCTCGGTGGTTTGCTGGCAGAGTCTGGGCCTTATGTTGAACAGCAATATTTTAATATAATATAATATAGTATAATATAGTATAATATAGTATAATATAGTATAATATAGTATAATATAGTATAGTATGGTATGGTATGGTATGGTATAACATGGTATAATATAGTATAATATACTGTGAGTTCCTGAAATCGACTTGCTGCAAGCCTTCGTTGGACGGCTGAGGTTGGGATACACGTCGTCCCAGGTTCACAAGTTCTGATGGCTGTTCGCGTGAGCAAAACTGCGCCCACTCCTGTGATTGCTTGTTGTGCCAGCAGCACACACCCTAAACCCCAAACCATGCTACACCTGTTCAGTGCAGCCGGGTGTTACGTGCAGGCCCTGCATAACTGCTGGCCAATTCCGCGTCCGCGACTCTCGCCATGCTAATCCATGACTGAGTTCCCAAACTGCCACAAAAGTCGCAGCCTTCTTTTGGGGGCACCACGGCGGGCTATCTGTGCACCAGGTGCTATCTCGCAGTAGTTCTGACTGACATGAATGTCAAGATATTATTTGTCATTGAAGACGTTGACAGGATGATGCTGGTGAGGGTGTGATTGTTGATGATTCTGTTTGCTGCATGTGCCGCTGCTTTGCTTGCGCCGCATGGTGCCATGACGTTTACGGAGCACTGTGCCCCAATTGCATCTTAACCTTCGCGGGTGGAGACGATGTGGGTGCCTGTCCCCTTGCCAGGGGTCGATCTCTCTCACTCTCTCTCTTCTTCCACACTCTCTCACACTCTCTCTCACTCTCTCTCTTCTCTTCTCTTCTCTTCTCTTCTCTTCTCTTCTCTTCTCTTCTCTTCTCTTCTCTTCTCTATCTGTCTAAAAGTATGCTCAACGTTAACATGTCGCGCATCCTCTAGACACAAGACCCAACTCCAAATCTCAGCATTTGCTGCGACGAACCATGAACTTGAATGTAATCCTGCAGGTCTTCTCGCTCCATTTTCTGCATTTTTGTCACACAAACTCCAGGTCTTCCGGACTCCAAAACGCAAGTCATAGAGGAATGGATGTGAAGCAGCAGCACAAAGCAAGGACAGCCATGCTAAGCTTTTTTGGCCAGTTGCAAGTGGTACTGCCCATCCAGCAACTCGTTGGAGGAAGCACCTCCACAACTAGATCCTAGCATCTTTGTAGAGGAACTCAGAAGAGATAGCGCCACCATACACTATCCCCCCCCCTCGACATGATACTGTCGACGATGCCGTCGCGGTGCCGGCCTTGGTAGGTGTCGCCGTCTCAGAAAAAAAGGCAATGCAGCATAGCTGCATTGCTTTCTGCTTCTGTTCGGTTGTGGTGACAAGGTCATGGAGGCTGCAATGCATGGGATGGTCTGGCTGCCTCAGGCCTGCCGAGGGAAACTGCGAGGCTCTGCAGCTTCGCACATGGGAACCTTCACGTTTTGTGTTCAAGCTCCGGCTAGGCTGTAGGAATGATCGCCGATTGAAGATCTGACAGAGCATGTGGCAAGCTGGCAGTGGTTTGATCTACATGGTCTGTGGCTTATGGCGGCCATGATGAGCAGCGGGCATGTTTCCGCAACCTGGGGCCAAAGCTGGTGCAGCGGAGTTCGATGTCGGACGCCAGGTTTTCGCTTTTTATCATGCCAACCTACATCCTCGAGGAAGTCGGTTCGTACATGTTTGCACGCGCAGCCGCGAGTCTCCATTACTAGGCCTTTCGTCGGGCTGGCTGCGAGGACAGACGCTGCAAAAGGCTGATAGCTCCGGTCGGATCCTGGTTCGGTTCGCTGGCCCGTTTCAAGACCCACTGCTGGGCCCGGCAGAGACCTTGGACATTTCGGTGCCCCATGCTTTGGTGCGGACCGCCGATTCTGTCGGATTTGTTGATGAAAGAAGCAGTGCAAGAGCAGCGACCTCGACGAACAGCTTGCTGCCCAGACAACGTCCGCTGCTGTCCATACTGTTGATTCGTTGCTGGGACTATCGAGCCATGTCCACTTGGTCAGACTTTGCTGTTGCAAACGACGGAATGCTCCGGGACCTGCTAGACGGGGAATGTGGGATTTTTCCTTCTTTAGCGGGGGAGTTTGAGCTTTACACTGCTTTTGTACGAACATCCACAGACCTGAAGATCCTCTCCGAGGACTGGGCCCAGGCAGTCCTGGCAGGACAAAATCAAGTTGTGTGGTACTTTCTCTGGCCCTGTCAGAATGCAGATGCAGATGTTTCCTCCGGGTGTGTCAGGGAGCGGGATTTCTTCCATCTGCAGCAGCGTATGGAGAGGGTCGGCCTCCGCAGCGGCTGGCCCCACCCTCACATGTTGTACGAGCAGCTCGCTGGAAAACTGTGGGTTCCGCAGATGAGCTTGAACAGGGACTACCGGATCCCTCCGACAGTTCGGGTTCATCATGCTGACGTTCGGCGGAATTCGCACTCTGCGGCGGCTCAAGCAATTGATGACTTGGTTCATCTTCGAGATCACGTCTGGAGCGGCAGCTCCGCAAGAGACGTATCGAGCTTTCGTGGGGTTGCGAAGCTGGGCTTCAGCTGGCAGGGTGATGACGTGGTCCCGTTTGAAGGAGCGAAGAATTTGGCAGACGTGCTCTGCAGATTGCTGGAAGGACGAAGCAATGAGCAATTGAGCTGCCTTGCGGCCTGCCTGCATGCAAGACAGGGATATTTTCGATGTGTAGGATGTGTGGAATTGGGGCATGCTATTGCAAGCATTGCTAGTTTTTTTCAGCGCGTGACGTGGTGACGTGCCTTATTTTGTTTCAAGATGGTCTGCCAAGGTCCAGGAGCTTGTTCCTAACACAGTCTGCGAGCATCGAGTCCTGTGCTTCCACGATGCTGCAGTGGGCAGATGGGCTTTTTGTCGGGAGCGGCTGTGGATGACCATGAAGTCTCCGGGCTCCCACCACAAGCATCAGGCCGATTTCGGGGGGGACCCAGGCAAGTTCCCAGCCCTAAATTGTAGGGGCCTTACTATTATGATTTGAGGTATATTCCTTAATTAAGGGGTATTAGGTTCTCTGGGTATTAGCCAGCATCGGCCAGGATGTCCTTGCGGTGACGGACTTTCGCCTCACCTCGGCCACGGTGTTGTCGCGGGACCAGGCAGTGCATCAGGGCATGAGGGCCTGTCTCCTGCCACCCTGTTTTTGCCTTGGAGATTTTCTTTGAGGCGGCTGAGCAGCTCTTCGAGGGAAGCCGTGAGATGGTTGAGTTGGTCGAGCAGGAAGCCGCCCCTCGGCTCCAATCGTCCTTCATCCGCTTCGTATCACATCATCCCTTTCTTCCGATCTTCAGTTGCCCACCTGAGGACATCTTGGTGGATCGCTGGCTGGCGTGGTTCCGCACTGAAACAACGGAGCCTCCTGCAGTCACAAGGTTGGACTTCCTAGTCTCGTGGCGGCCAGGTGCGAGGCCAACAGTGGCTGGTCCGACATGGAATCCGTAATAGTATTGACAGGTTCTGTTCGCCTTTGTAGGGCCATGTGAGGGGGCTGCAAGGGCCCACCGCTGCAGTTGCGTCGCCAAACTATCTCAGGTGTGGACCTGCGAAGTGTGCGAGTGCGGAGCTTCCCTGTGCTCTGTGGAGTGCGATGCACGAAACTGTGCTGCGCTGAACTGGGCCGTGGCTGAAGATCCATCGGGTCGCTTTCCATTGGCCATGCCCCAGATACGCCGCTCCTGGGCTTGCAGAATACGATCGGAAGCACAAGTCGGGCCGGCCGGCATTTTGGGCTCTGTGCTGAAGGCCTCATAGTTCTCTTAAGCATAGACATAGGCTTCCCGACGCTCATGTCCCGATGACGGCCTAAGAGCAGGTTGAAGCGAAGGGTTGCAGCGTAGGTGCCTGCGTTAGTGAAGCTTTCGGAGTCCGGTGCCTTCTGCTTTGCCGAAGGAAACAGCGGATGGAAATCGTGAGGCATGCTGTCCATGCCTTGCCCCCTGAGCCCGTGGGAGAGAAATAGAAAAGAGCAGCAGCTTGCTTCCCTGGCTTTCAGAACGCAGAGACCCACCCGGAAAAAGCAGGATAAAAACACGCTGTTCTCAGGACACCTTCCGGCTCCTGGGTCTCCTCCAGGCCCCCCTGGCTGCCCCTTTCTGTTGCACCACCGCGCTCGCTTCTGGGGGTTTCCGAAGGCAAAAGAGTTTGGGCCACTGCTGCCCGCCCGCGCCCCAAAACGGCACACCGCAAGGCGCACCCTCCTCGGCATTTTTCCGAAAGCCGAGGCAAGTTCCTCTTGCCGGACTCGCTTTCAGGCCCGTTTAGCCTGTTTTGCAATCTCTGGTTTCAGGTCTGACTCTGCTTGCGTCGGAGGAGCCAGTGCATGCTTTGCGGAGGGCTGAGGCCGATCCGAAATCTGGGGCACTGGAGGCTCCCTGCTACGCTACCGGGCGCCACCGCCAGTGACTGTCTGTCTCATAGCTCCAGGAGATGGAGATGCGAGAGGCTGTTGGGATGGGCGAGCTTTCGCAAGTTGGAACATGTTCGGTCTCGTTCTTGAGACCGAGGCACTCAGGGACTTGCAAAGCCTCGTGGCAGAAGCACAGGAGGCGACGGGGCCTCGATTCGATCCATGTTGTGTTCAGAAATCGACATTTCATCCTCTTGATCAGCCAAACACCATGCATCAATCCATGGTGTGTGCAGCTTTGAACGGCGAAACCCTAATTGAGGAAGCCTTGGTTGAATGCCTTGAACATAGAGGCTCTGCGATCGTGTCTGTCCTCCTTTTGCAAGTCAGACATATCCGAACATACCCTGCAATGTGGGCTCGTCCAAGCTATGTAGGAGGGAAAAATCCATGGTGTGAGGCTCGATGTGACATTGGTATGAAGTGATCCTATGGTTCTTGCAGATGGAGTCTTAATATACATGAAGTCGCAGCTGTCCGAACCGTCTGACCCAGCATCTCGGGTGTTCGACAGCGCAGAACCTCTGACACCGATAGTTAGCCTCCTCTATCTTTCACGGCTGGAATCTGACGAAGAAACACGGAAAGGGCACATTGAAGCAAAGCTGTGCTCGCGGAGTACTTCGGCAGGCCTTTCGGGAAGAGCCATGCGAGCCAGGGCTTTTGCCTGAGTGCCTTGCAGTGGTGGACCGAAAGAGACGGCCCAAAACTGAAGCATCCTGAAGGTGGGAGTCCGCATGGCAGGCCTGCGTCACAGGCGAGCTTTGGCATCCTTGCTTCGATGACTCTGAGGAGCTGGCATCACTGGAGGCCACGCTTCAAACAGAGATGCCCTGTGCCCAGGCATTGCTTTGAGCCTCGATGAGGGTCCCGACATGTATTTCATAGCTGGCTTGCCTCGTAAGGCGATATGTCTACGCTCCTGACTGGGAGGTTCGAGATAGCACCAGTTTGACGCAAGCGAGCATCTAATCTGCGCCGGTGATTGGCAGATTAAACCGGGAAAGCTGGTCTCAAGGAAAGGAACTTGGCTCAAGCGGTTGCTTGGCTGAAGAGATTTTTGTGTTCCAAAGTTGCCCTGCCTGGACCCTGTCAAGCTGTGAGCGACTCTGGGGTACCTCGCGACAAGGACGGCGCAATTCTCTTGGGAACTGAAAGAGGCAGTTGGTTACGGTAGATGGTCATGGATCATCAGACCTTTTGCGCTTGGGACCTCTGGGCTTTCTCGCAGGGCGGCGAGCGAGCGGAGAAGCTCTACTTGCCAGCTGGGGTGTGCCACCTAGATGTGCTGGTAGGGTGCCTTAGCTCTGTCGGGTCCGGGCATGTTCGCGAGTTGCGCGAGTTGCAGAGGTAGCGGTCCCCGTCCTTCAAATCGGAAAGGCGGCAAAGCTGCGCACCTTCAGGTCGTGCAATGTCCAGCTGTCAGGTGATCGACCAAGAGGAGCTCAAGTTGCACGACTGGGCATTTGCCCGAGCATGAGCCGCTCCTAGTGTCGCCGCGAGAAGAAGCGACCAGGTCTGCCAGCACTTGCGAGTCTGGATGAAGCCTGAAATTCTCCAGACTATCGAGGCAACTTGCCCCTGAGACTGCAACTCTTTGCAGCTTTCCACTCCTGCAGGCCAGGTACGGCACATGGTTCGTCTACTGGCCTCACTTCGAGGTCCCCGGTTCTTTGTCGCCACTCTGGACCTTTCCCCTGTCACAAGACGTTGCAAGGTTGCATCTCAACTTCGCTCCTGCAGCTGTTAGGCTCAAGAACAAGAACCCCGAAGCCAAAACTAATCAAGCCCACTCTGCTTCATCTGTTTAGCTGTTGGACATCAGGATGAATCAGCCGTCCAACCGGTCCATGCAACGTCAGAAACCCCCTTTTGACAAGTTCCAAGCTTCCATGACGACCGACAGTATGCACGTGGACACCCGGCCTGCCTGTTGGTTTGGTGGAGCGCTTGTTGATTGCTGGCCATACAGCTGTCGGCTAGCCAAGGATGCCAACATTGCACCTAAGACGGAAGACACAGACGAGTGCCCCACCTCGCGGCAGTGTGTTTCCCCGAACGCGCCTTGGAGGAGATCGTGCCTCCAGGGTGGCGTTCAGCAGGTGAGTTGGAGGGTTTCCGCTTCTAAGACTACTCACACCTTCTGCAGCAAACTTCGGCTTAACATGCATTGTTTATCCATCTAGCCAGCCTCATGCAAGCCTTCAGGTGGGGTGGTCCGGCACGAATGAATCTGGAAGTTCGCTGTGCCTTCGCCCAGGTTTTGAAGGCGTGTCCGATGCCCAATACAAATCAGAATGATGATTCAGATCCGGAGCTCCTGAATGACTCCGGAGAAGGTGGGGCCAACGCTCGGTCTTTCTGAAACCTGTTGCAACCCGCCGTTTGTCTCGACCTCACTTCATGGCAGGAGTGGTTGCATTGAATGCCTCGCCCACCGGCTGGAAGCGCTTTGTCAGGCCATTGGCGAATTGTGCCTTGGTGAGATGAGCATCATCCTGATACGGAGTCGTGGGAGGGTCGACGGTTCAAGTTCCTTCACTCGGAACGGCGAGGCATTGCTTGTGGCGATGTTGAGACAGAGATGAGTGGATTGAAAAGGAACATCCGCTCGAAGAGCAAAAGCCTCGCCGCTTGCTTGACTAGGGCTGGTCTCAGCCTCCGTGGTGTGTGTGTGTGTGTGTGTGTGTGTTCGGCTATGCAGCTTGATTGCCTTCTGTAGCATGGCCTGGTTGGTTTGAGGTCTCGAAGCTTTGGTTTAAACTGTGTCTCCTTTCAGGGACCAGCGGATCAGCGTGGGCATGAAGTGCTCTTCGAGACCCATCCCTCACATTTCTTCTTCTGTGCATCGGTTGCAATGCCGAGGAAGCTTGCAGGCACAAGCTTCGCGAGAGGGATTCTCACGCGATGCTGGTAGAGGACGAGCTGGAAAAGCCGCTCGGCCAGTCCCTGTTACTCTGACGACACCGGGCAAAGGACAAAGCAGGATTCATGGAGAAACCTTGTGGGACATGATTCGCCGACTAATTTTCTCTTGCACCCAAGCAAGGATGATGCAGGAGCTGAGCTCCGTGAAAGAAGAACTAGCGATGGAGCGGCGGAGGACAGCGATGAGTCGGATCTTTTAATTCGGTGAGCACACATGTTCGGCCGGCTCGGAGCATGCAGAAGCTGCAAGAGCTGAGACGGTTAGCAGGACATCCAGTATGTCATCCATGCTCCTCTCTGATTCGGTCAGCCAGCAGAAGTTGCAGGAGCAGGTGCCTGGAGCTCTGCACAAGCAAAACGACGCAGAACCACATTGCAGCTTCAGTTGTGTAGTGTGAAACTCAGGTGAAGCTTGCCGAGGAGCAGCTGAAGGATGCGCAGCAGGAGATCGGCAGATTGTCTTCGAGCTTACAGAACGAAAAGTCCGAGCGCCAGCACTTGGCGCAGGCACTCCAAATGAAGTCCTCAGAAGCAGAGGTTTGCTCGGAGCGATTGGAAAGCACGAGAGGGGAGCTCAAGCGCTGCGCTGATGAACTACAGGATCTTCGACGTAGTCTGGAAGATTCCAACCAAACTTCCACTCGGCTGCGCGGTGAGCTTCAAGAGCACGGCCAACAGAATGCCAATCTGAAAGAGAGACTGCAGCAAAGAGAGTTTGAATTGGAAGAATGCGAATCTCAAGTGCACGAGGTATCGTCTGAACTCAGCCAGACAAGCCGCAAGCTGACTCAGACGGAAAGTGAGCGTGACGTGATTGAGAGAAGACTTGCAGAGACGAAGGCTCAGCTTGACCAGTACGAGGACAGATTGACATCCCTTTCGGCATCCCTGGAGGCTGCACAACGAGAAACAGCCTCGCGGTCCAAGCGAATGGAAATGACTTCCATGGCTGCCGAGGATTTCAAGGGCCACCTGCATATCTCCAAGGCGCGAGTGCGACACTTGGAGGAGCAGGCACGCGCAACGACAGCACTGCTGGAGACGAAGCACCTAGAGCAGCAGCGGCTGGTCGAGCAAGCAGCGGCAGCAGAGGAGCAAGTAGCGGCCTGTCAGGGCAAGCTCGCATCACTGACGTCTTGCCTGGACCAGGAGCAGTCGCAAAGCGCGGCCTTGCGTCAAGAGTTGCGGAATCGAGACCAGCAGATCGAAGATCTGGTTACAAGAGCAAGCTCTCGAAATGCGGAGGTGGAGTGCTTGACAGACGCGAAGGGTTCGCTGACGAAAGCTCTGAAGGCTCAGGAAGATCAGGTGGAGTGCTTGACTGAAGAGAAGGGTTCGCTGGTTAGATCTTTGAAGGCTCAGGAAGAGAAGAACGAAGAGCTCAAGTCTCAAATTAGTGCAATGAACCAGCAGGTCTCGAGCTACGAGCGTCGGGTTACGGAGCTCTGTGAGACGCTGTCGGAGACGCAGCTCGAGAACGCTCAGATGGCCTTGGGCCTGGAGAGACGGGCTATGGAGGCCGAGGAGTTCCTGGGCAGGATTCGGGAGGAGAGGAGGCAGGTCGCTGACTTTGAACAGAGTCTCCGCTCCATCCGCGAGTCCTTGCACAGAAGTCTCACGGACAAGGATGATTTGATCGTGGAGCTGGAGAGAACGTGTCTCGAGCGCGAGGACCTCACGCAGCAACTGGTGCGGGCACAACAGAAGCTCGTGCAGCTCGAGGAAGAGATCGGCAACTGCTTCCTTAAAGCAGCCGAAGACTCCAAGCAAGTCCGCGAGAGCTCAGCACAGGCAACTCGATTGCAAAGCACTGTATCTGCGGTGACTGGGTGAGGGTTGAGTTTTTGATATCATGTCTGCGAGCACCAGACTTGCGCCTTCAGGCGGTCCCCGCACAATCGGGCAAACTCATGACAACTCAGTCTGTTTTCGCATCGTTTGCTTGCAGTGTCTGAAGGAAATATGCCAGTGGCAGATCACTGCCGAGATGGCATATCGGCAAACAACGGAAATAGCTCTCCAGCTGGATAACTGGAGGTCTCAGTACAGTCACTTAGCTGCACAGAACGGACAGTCTTGGAGCTCGATCGTTCCTGCGATGCCGTGCATCACCGCCGCCACCGCCGCCACGTTGCAGGTAGCCTTTTGAAGGCCTTGCAGGAAAAGCAGGCGGATGCTTGGACAGCAATGCTTCAAGTGCGTGCCTCTTGAAGCAATCGCAGACTTTCCCTCGGCTGAAGAGTTGTTGTACAACCCCCCCCCCCGAGTTGTTCACACTAACGCAATCGCAGCATACCATCGTCAACCTCCAACTCGGCCAACTGGGAAGCGCAGTGATTGACGCACCTGGAAGACGTTAGGACCACTATGAACTGAGCTACGCGAAGCAATAGATACCGCCAAAAGCTTGACAAGAATCGTGCGTAGTGGTGAGTTGTGCTGACCTCTGGCCGTCGCAATGGGGGAACTAGTAGAGCTCAAACTTGGAGGGCGAAGTAGCCAGCAAGGCCAAATCCGAAATTGAGAGTGCTTCTGAGCTTATGCTGCAAAGGCCATCGAGAAGTTAAACGGTGAGCTGGATGATGCCAAGAAGCGCCTGGCAGAGGTGGCCATCGTTGCACCTTGGACGTGGACTTGCGGCCAGTGTCCGTTGCCGCAGCTTCCATGGCTAGCGGCCTTTATGTCGGTTGTTTCAACCTGCGAAAACCTAAAGTAAGGACGACGCGGAAATGGCGACTTTGTGACTGTGCTTGAAGTGTGCTTGATCTCCCCTCGTTCGTGCTTTGGAAAGGTGCGTTGATCCGTTTCGGACGGGCGTCCTCTGCAGTACCAAGGAAGGAGCAGCTCACACAAGCCAATGCAAGACTCAATGCCATGTCTGCCGCGGTCGACCTGAAAGACACAGAACCTCGGGCTTGTATCATGGTCCGCCGGTCGGATGCTGCTCACCAGTGTCTTCCAGTCATCTAGTCTGGTTGCAGACGCTGCAAGAGCCCCGAGGAAATGCAATTAGTGTCGCGGGAGCTCATGAGGAAGGGCATGCAGGCCGAAGATTATCTGGGCCAGGTGAACAACATGAAGGACAGGGTCTTATGGTCTTATGGTGTTGCCAGCACTAGACTTGAAGACAAGTTCAAAACGTGCGCTGCTCGAAGGACCGCCTCGTGCAGTCTGAGATGCTCCGCCTGCATTCAGAAGCGGCGTGCCGCTGCGGCTCGCGTCCTTTCTTGCATCGGGTTGGGTTTTGGAGATTTGGCGAGTCCGATAAAGTGTTGGATATGGCATTAGTCTCGGACTTGCTTGCATGCCAGTCGTGTGTGGTCCAGTCTTGTGACCCAGGGTGCAGTCGGTAAAACACAGGTGCCGAGCCAATGTCCGAGACTGCAGGATGGACCTGAGCCGATATTCCTCGGAGCTCACAGTCGCACGCATGGAGAAGGACCCTCTGTGACCTGTAGCCAGAGATGTGCCCGTGGCCCGTTGCATCGCAGGATTCTTTAGCAACCAGCTTGGAGAGAAGCGGAGAACATGCTAAAGCACTGACTGGAGAAATGCAAAGCATGATGCCTGGATGCGCTTGGCCTGGTCTGCATGTTATCGATTTCTTTGTGTGCCCGCGCGTGACTTTTCTTATCAATGGCAAGGAAGACGCAGCTTCAAAAGTGCGAACAGGATGGGGCCTCAGACATGTGTCTTCACCAATACGGCTCGTATTCGGCGATTATGGCTCTACTTCAGTACGGCCGCCGAGGAGACGTCCATATTAGACCGATGCAGATGGCTCAGTGAAAGCACTTGTCCTTGTGCGCGCACTTTGTCTCTGAGTCTCTGCTAGCCTCTCCAACTCAGGCCTCGAAGATCGGCAGTTGCTTGGAGAGTTGGGGCAAGAGTTGTACTCACTATCTCTTACGAGTTTCGTGCTGTGCAAGTACCCGAGATGTCTGAAGGCTTCAGAATGATCTGCTCTCTCGCCAGCTCTCCACGAAGGAGCCAGCTTATGTCACGCCATGCCATGTCGCAGAACATCGAAATCACAGGGGAGGTTGTAGGAGAAGCATGATTCCGCTCCATTGCGCAGCAGAGAAAGTCAAGAAGTCGCAGCTGGCCACGACAGTACTTGTACTATAGGGTCGCCGGAATGCCTCAGTGTGGTCAAGCTGACTATCCTGCACTTCTTGCCTTGGAACGGGCTGTCTTTGGGGCGCTGGTTCTCTGGTACGTGATGTGTGGGCAATAAGAAGTTCCATGTCGCCATCGCTCGGGGCACTCGAAAGTGAGAATCCTGATGCCAGCACGCTCTTCACGAATTGCCACAGGATTCCATTCCGCTCCGCCTCGGGCGTGGGTTCGGTCTCAACCCCGACGTAGTCCTGGCTCGAACAGAGGCCCTCAGCCGGCAACGACATGCGAATCAAAGGCGACAAACGGCGCAGGTCTGCGCCCCACCGTAGCAGGTGCTGGAGGTGGCCATGCTTGGCCCAAGCAAAACGCCGATTCGCATGCGCAAGCCTTGGCTCATGTCTGTACATCAACGACCATGTGGAGGACTCGAGGATCGAAGATCTGAGTTGCGAGCTCACCGCTCTTCGTATCCAGCGGCAGGACAGCGAAAGGCAGGGCATCTCCTTCAGATCCCAGGAGTATCTGAGCACCTAATGGGACATGTTGCGCTGCGAGAGTTCTCAGTCTACTTCTTACACCTTGCTGCATACGGCACTATGCAGCAGTATTGCTCCTTCTGTTCCGCGTGCTATCGAGTGTCTACATGCCCAATGGATGGTCTTGATATGTTGTGATGCCACTGACCTGTGTCAAGGCGTAGGGTGCAGGGTTAGAGAGAAGCATCTTTTGAGAGATTGGCGGCGTTTGCAGAGGCTGGCGCTGGTCCTTTTGTTGACAGGCCCTCGTTGTCAAAAAGCGTTTCGGTCAGTCTGCTTGGCGCTGGAGACTAACAACCGCACCCATCTGCATTTTCCAAGTTCAAGCGGCCTCACGTACATCGCATGTTCGGTGTAACCCGAAGATTGGGTAGCCAAGTGGATTTCGGGTACAGCCCACAAGACGGTTTGCGAAAGGTGGGTGCTCCAAAGATCATTGTTTGACACGTGGGCTGCGGTTGTAGCCCAAAGATCGAACTAAACTCGGAATGTGGATCTCGAGTTCTAGTCGAAACGGTTTCAATTCATGCGATAAGAAGAGACCAGCGTCTGCATGGAGGTTCGGAGGGAAAGTATGCTCTAGATTGTAATATACATACTTGAAACGGCAGGCCCGCGGCCTGTCCAGAAAATTGAGCTTGCGTGACGTGGAGGCTACAAACAGCCTTCACACTAGTGATCCCGGGTAGCAGGACAAAAGAAGAATGATTAGAGACAATACCAACAGAATGGACTTCGAAACACTTCGAAACACTCCGAAGATGGTTCAAAATCCACGTGCAGCTAAACTAATGAAAAATTGATGATTGTCTGCCGGCCAGGGAAGCCACGCAGTCACTCGAGGTTGGCAGCTCAATCGCTCGAATGTGCAGAGATGCAGAATGATGCAGAATGATGAAGATGTCCAGGTGATGCGCTCAACCTTACAAGAGCAGCTGCATCAAAACGAGCTGCTGTCAGCTGAGCTGACCAGGAAACGAATGGATTACCAGGACCGATTGTGCAAGCTTGTTTGGTTGGTGCTTCATTGCGAGTGTCCGGCCGGGCAGTGCACCTCAAGGCAACATCGGCCGAAAGCAGAAGCTTGTGCCCACCTCAGGTGCAAGAGAGGCCGTGCGTCATTCTTCTAAGCTCTGTGACATAGCGACATGGGCCTTCTGCGAGTGTTTTGGATGTGTTTGGAGTCCGGAGAGCTTGGCTTCTGAGGCGCGACGAGCTGACGGCGGCCCTGGATGCCAAGAGCGATGCCAACTGCCAGCTGGAGGGCCTGAAAGAGCTGGCCAAGCAGCTGCAGGCCGATACGCAACGTCACCGTGCCACGATTTTTTCGTGCCATCGGGCAGAACCACCAGAATCCATCAGGGATTCATCGGCACACCACAGGATTGATTTCTCATACTTGTAGCCACACTTTCAAACCGCCATGGCCTTGACCCGGCTGAGACAGGAAGAGCTGCGCTGCTCACAGCAGAAGCACGTGACGATGGTCGAAGAGCTGGACAGCATGACCAACTCGAGCCTTGGCGTATCTGCGGCCGGGGTGCACCGCAGTCCAGTAGAGGTCTAGGGGCACTAAGAAAGCTGGTTTGGCTGGCTTACAATCGTTCTGATCATTGGAGTCATCAGTGCTGCAGAATGCACCCAGTTGCCTGTGTCTAAGGAATGCGCATCTCGAAGCCAAAGCATCGAAACTGGCACAGGTTTGCAAACAACAAGCGAACGAGAAGGAAGCACTCTCGAACGAGCTTCGAAGCACCGCTACTTGGCTCTGACTTGTCTTTGCCAGGCGTGGTGCACACTGCGGGAGCGGATACTGGTGGATTATAGTCAGATTCATCGTTTTCTTGAAGTATTTGGACAACCTCTGACAAGTGCTCCCAGTGAACAAGGGTGTTCTTGCGTGTTTGTTCTTATGTCGTTCGACAGTCGGAAGTCCCTTGCACTTGTTGGGAGCCGCAGTGCAGAGAAGAGAATGAGAAGTGGAGGGAGTCCATACCCGTGCGACTGCACCGCGAGTCGAGTACAAACCTCACTAAACATAGTAACGGCTAGCGGCCAGATCTTGTGCGAGTAGTCGTGTATGGACCAAGCAAGCTGCCCCCAAATGCTCCTACAGCAAGAACTCCGGCGTCAACGGTAGCCAGCAGTCATCCCCGTTGCTGCTTGTGAGAAAACATGCTTTACACTCCTCACTTCCAGGTGGGCAGCGTGCAGCACCTGCAATCACAGCTGGCGAAGTACAGACAGCACCTCAAGGAGAACCAATCCAAGATAGATTCATTGACTAGCGCCGTGCCTTACACCTTATGCTGACATATGCTGACAGACAGGCTTAAGCTACTGAGTGATTTGTTTGTTCGAGCTGCCTTCCAAGGAAGCTTGAAGCGGGAGGTGCAGAAGAAGGACGAGGCGGCAACACGATGCGCTGAATTGCTCTGCTCACATCCTTCTATGTGTATTGAAGCCTGGATTGGCAGAGCGCCTTTGCAGATGAAGTTGAGAGTTCGAGGGATTGTGATTCTGGTGCGTGGTAGTCTTAGTGGTTCCGTGCGTTTTGCAGGTGCATAGTCGTGTGCTGTGGCATGTCTAAGGTTCGCACTTTCCGAGACACGGATCCTGGTCCGCACTCGGGGTAGGTTTCTATATTCATGTTGTGACTTTTGTGTCTACATTCTACATGACAAACCCAGTGCCATCATCTTTCGACGAAGTCCGAAAGCGAAGGACTCTTGGCAGCTGGTCGTGGCGCCGGCTTCATTGGAGCTGAAGGTTCGGAGTGTTTGTTTTGTGCTTGTGCCCGCGATATCAGGCGGGAAGCGGCTTCGACGAGCGCGTCATATTAAAGGGCGGTGAGACATCGGGACAAGTCCCAGCGATATCCGGAGAGGCGTCGACTTGCACCCATCATGCATCTCAAGTTCTTGCTGGCCAAATCTCTAGACGGAGCGGTTTGCTTGAGTTCCTGTTGCTGTCGCCACTGCACCGTTTTTCGGCAACAGACCCCCTGCATCATCATCAATGCCGCGAGAGGGCGCAAGGCCCGAAATTCACTTGCGAGAAAGCGGCGTCGAAGCTTCCGGCCTGGCATTGACAGTGGTTGTAGTCCACAGCAGCTGTTTGAGAAGGACCGGAAAGACGATGACAAGGTTCCGGTGAGGGTCTACAATGCAAAGAAGCCTGGAGCCGTGGCACTGAGCTCAGATTTTTATTTTTCAGCTGGCCTGTAGCCAGGACGTCTGAACCCGACGAGTTTGAGTGTATCGTCCGATGGATGCTTCCTGCTGCGTGTCGCTTACGCCCAGGCGGTGCAGAAAGCAGCGCCGCACTTGGAGGTCCAGATAAGTCAAATCACAGTCTTTGACAGAATGCGCCGGTTGTTCTCAAAGACGTCTGGCTGCATTTTGCCACTTGGGTCTCACAGACGAACTAGCTAGCCTTGGCAGTTTGCCCAAGGACGGTAGGCATCAAGGCTGCATGTCATAGCCGGCCACAGACTTGCAGTCGAAAGTGCCAGCCAGACATGCAAGATCCTGTTAAGATGTGGAGTGGAGCCAGCTTGGTCATAAGTGTGACCTGAGGAACAAGTTGGTTTACGACCAGAACTTTGGAATAGTTCGTCCATATCCCGATTGCGCTTCTACTTCTTGTTCTTCCGAGGCATTGGGAGAGAGTACAGTAGCAGAAACAGAAGGGTATGTAGGTGTGACCGATCCAGCAGACTCTGAGACCCACCAGGCCTCGTTTGATTGAACTGTCGGGACTATCGTGGAGCTCCTGACGAAGAATTTGCGGATTCCCAATGGAACGTGCAGTGTCGCGTCGCGCTTGCCTTCTCTCTTGTCTCGGTTTGCTGTCTGCCAGACCTGGGCTAATTTACCAGATGTGGCTTGCAGCAGTGCCCAATGTGGCTAGGATTTCAAGACCAGGCAAACCGACCCCACGAGCTTAAGCAGAGAAGCGGAAAGCTCTGGAGCATATCAAGTGAGCACCCTTCTGAAGCACTGGAGTTGGATTTGCTTTCTAAAATTTTCTGTGGTGCTCTCGCGAAGCGGGGCCTCTTAGCGGAGCTTAGTCTCCTGATCGTGACTGTTGCAGCTCCCAAGGGTATCATCCAAGTGAAGGGTGACGCTGGCCCTTTTGGGAGGAGATTCGAGCCGTGAGGCTACTTGAGCGGATGCTCAGGGACTTGACGTTGCTTGGTTTTCGAATGAGAAGGATGCCTTCCTCGGGCCTGTGTAAAAGGGTTCTTTCTCGGATGTCCCTTGAGTGTCCTTCCAACCTGCTGCCAGAGGCGCAGGTGGACTCTTGACTGGCACAGCCTGCCCTCCTTCTTGCAGCCCGGCCCCCTTGGAAGCCTGGTGTAGTCTAGTGTGTGGGGTCCCCACATTCTCTAAAAGAGAGGCGGTACACGAGAAATCTTGGGGGCCAAGGGCTCTTACCTCGGGTCGACCAGCTGATATCTTGCTGGCTGTTGGCAAATGCCCAAGGTCCGAGTTGACGGTCGTATCCTGGGATGCAGGGATTTTACGTTTCTGCGGGCATGGACTTTTCACCACACATGCCCGTCTTCTAGCTGTTTTACAGCTTTTCCGGCATCCAGTGCTCATGGAAAATGCTGAGCCAACAGCCCGTGCTAGAGGTGCTTGGAAGAGTCTTTTCGACCTTCAAACTGTTTTAGGACAGAGGCCTTTCCATCGTTCCGGCGGTGGACGGCAAAGGGATGCTTTGCGAGTCGAACTTGTTGACAAATTTGCGGTGGCCTTCGCGACTCGTGCCTCATGTCGGGGGAGCCCTTGCAGGACACCTGGCTGAAAAGGAGCTGCCAAATGAGTGGCGAATTGCAGCCGTTCGAGTTGATGTATGCTCCTCGAGGTGCGGACAAAGAAACTGTTGAGCTCTGGCATGTCTCGCATGATGAAAGAGGCCTGCCGATCAATGTCGCCCAGCGGCCAGCCATCGTGGACGAGGCCCTGGGTCGTACAGACAGAACGGTCGGGGCACCATCGCGATGAGCCATGCCCTCTAGAGATGGAGCAGGATTGGGAAAAGGGTCGCCACCAGCACATCCACTTACACAGGAAGGCTCGGGAAGCTGTGGCTCGATTCTGTTTGCTGCCAACAGCAATAGCAACTCTGACGGCACAACTGCATTTCGACGCCAGGTTGTGCTTGCTTCAGCCCCCATCACCATGAAGCAGGACAGCCACGGAGCTGCGCGCACGCGCGTGTGTGTGTGTGTAGGTGTGTGCCTCTGTCTGTCTTTGTCTTTGTCCGTGTCCTTGTTAGCATGGGGCATTCAGAAGGAAGTGAGAAAGGATGGGGATGGGGAGCCCCGGAACCTGCTGCTTGCATGCGAGCATGTGTGGATTCATTCTAAGGAGGATTTCCCTAATCCTGAACTGGCGCTTCCAGCACTAATGCTTGTTGCCAGTTCTTTACCGAGCCGACCCTTGCATGGCCGAGAAGTCAGAGAGTACGTTGCAGGCGAGAAATAACCGGAAGAAAAAGAGGTGGAGAGATCTCAGTCCGATCAGTTTAGCTTCGCGACACTTCGGGGAACCTGGCCACCGGGGGATGCCGGGATGTTAAGGATTCGGAAGCGAATCGCGAAATTGTTCGTGCATGCTCGAATAACATCACGTTCACCTGCAGCCAGCAACATGAGATGAGCGAAGAGGCATGAATGATCAAATTTCTTGAATGACTGTATCGCATCACATTTACGGTAGTTGATTCGAGGTGTATGATGTTGTGTTGCCTTCTCGTCGACAGTACTTAGCGACTGGAGGAGCAGTACGACATCCTTGTGGGCCAGCGTGTGCAGCTTACCGAACGGCCGGCCAACATGTCAGGGAGCCTGAATGCCAAAGCGTTTTCTGCGAAGCTTCAGGAGTTGCATGGAGTTGCGCAACTCCTCAGCTTTTGCAACGCCCGTGCCACATGTGCCGGCGACATGTTCATATGTACCCATGGCCTCTTGCTGCGGTGTCATGTCCACACGATAGTTTCACATGCCTGATGAACTCTAGCCATGGCCACGCCTCCCAGCTTCCGCTTGGTGAGCGGCAAGGCCAGTTCGGAAGAATCGGTTCCCTTTTTTCCAGGGTTTGAGACTTGGGCCGAAGCCCCGAAGCCCCTCGTGTGGGCTTGCACATTGTGACAACGTTTCCCCCGCCCTCCTGTAAGCTGGTGGTTGAAAAGAGGATCCTTTGCACAAGCCAGCATGCGACAGTGCGAGCTTGCTCGCACGATTTAGGCAGGCAGAATCCAAGGCTCAAAGCCAACCGCACCCACAAACGAAACGGAGCACCCACAACAGAGAAGGCGTGAGACCCAGAGCCCGAACAAGGGAAGAGAGTGATGATGCCCGTCCCTTCTGTTCTCTAAGAGCGAAGGCCTTGCCGGTCTCCGACAGCGCTGTCTACGTCGGCGACGCGCGGCTGCAGCTTGCACGAGCCTTGCAGGTGGCGCCCGCACGCCGCTTGGAATTGGCATACGACCAGATCAAAGCAGAGGTTCTGGAATCCTCACTTGAAGGCGTCACGCGGGATGGAGGGATATGGAGGGTTGTTTTCAGGTCTTCAGCTCCTGGGCCCGACGCTGTTGGAGGATTCCCTTCCTCTTGCCGTTTTGCTGGTGGATGTCCAGGCGGCAGGGAGTCGTCAAGGCTCATTGATCACTGCCCAGCTGCATCCGCTTGGTCAGGTCTGGATTTTGCCTGATCTCGCTGAAAATCGGCTCGCAAAGTTGGCCGGTGTTGAGAAATTCGACGATCTCCAGGAGATCGTAGTCGCCTGGCCAAGCAGTGCCCCTCAACAGTGCAGCAATGTGAGGCTTGCAGGAACGTTTCAGGATATTTCGGTCAAAAATTTAGCGGAAGATTTCAGCGGCATGTCGTGAGCTCTGAGGACCTCCAACTCTCCTCGAAGAGTCTTAAGACACTGCCAGAGCGCTTTGGCCTTGTGTGCAGAGACTCTCTGCAATCCTTGCGGATCTTGGGCTCCGGCTTGCGCTGCCTGCCAGAGGCTCGTCTGAGAATCCTAATGGGATTCTGTTGTAATGAAATTCAGATTTTTGTTGTTCAGGGGTCTTCTTTTTTTTCGTGTTCGAGCCCGCTAAGAAGTTTGTTCCTTTGCAATATGAGCGCTGGTGCTTTCTTGCTTCGTTCTCTCACTCTGCTGGCTTGCTTTCTGGCTGTCAGACTCGCTTGGGTAGAGCGCCTTTTGGGTTTGTCTTAAGGAGAACTTCTGCAAGATGTCGGCCCTGAAGCAATTGGCCTGGTACTCAGCCCACCGCGGAGCTTCTCCCTGAGCGGCTCGCAAGCAAGGCTCTCAGCGAGACCAATTTGAAACTTGTCAGGTCATCCTTCAATGCAATCTGCCAGATCTCCCGCTGCTTAATCAGCAAGGAATTGACCCTAAACCCTAAACCCTAAACCAGGTAGTGATGTGAGCCTGTGCCTCTTCAAATGGGAGAAGTGTTGCCGCTAAAAGGCCCTCCTTCGTGGAGCTTCCGAGCTTGGAGGAGCTCACGATTGCTGGAAGCCGACTGGCAAGCCTTCCTCAGGCCCATGGGGACGGCCAGAGCCCTTGCAGCGAAGGACTCGCAGTCAGGCGCTGATCTCTCTGTCAGGAGATCGGACAGATGGTCACTTTGAGGTGAGAAGCTGCAGTCTTCAACCTCTAGACACGCATGACGCGGGCCCACAGCAGAAGTGACGATTCTGTCGAGGTTCTTGCACTTGACGGACAACAGCCTGAAAAATCTCCCTGCCTCTTCGAGGCAGAAAGGAAACCTGTGCATTGCAGAGTGAGGAGTCCTGAAATCCAAGGAAGGCCTCGGGATGCTCGGCCGCCTCCGAAAGCTGGAAGCCGACAGGAACCAACTTTTGCAGCTGCCCGGCTCCCTCCTAGACTGCCCCGACCTGGCTGCACCTCGACTGTATCTCTTCGGGGTAGAGCTCCGACCCAAGCGCCACCAGCATGCTGTCGGCGTTTGCCGGTCCGAGGTGCTGAGCCTCTCGAAGAACATGCTCAAGAACTTCCCTACACCTGCACGACCCTCCAACTTGCAAGTCTTGCATTTGGAAGGTGCATCTCCCTGCATTGCAGAATTGTAGACTTGTGTATTATGCTTCTTAGCTCTGGGCCTTAGGACTCTAGGCCCAGGCCACCTCGTGATGCACTCGAGGCAACCGCATGTCGAACCTGCAGTTGGCGTCGATGCCGTTTCTTCAGGTGCGATCGGTGTGGGTACAAGTCAGACGAGTTGGGGCAAGTCTGTCTTGGGTTCGAGATAGATGGCTCCATATGATGCCCTAAACTCCAGAAGCTGTTTGGCAGAACCTTTGCACCACGGACTCAGGAGGTATGCATTGATGCCAACCCTTTGCGGCCATCTCTGCCGAACAGCTGCGGCGAGCTTGGCTCGCTGCGACAGCTGGAGGCCGCTTATCTGTGATGAGCAGCTTTTTCATTGTGGTGTGCCCGCAACTGCTCTCCATGTGCCCCCTTCGCAGGCTACCGGCTGCCTTCTTGAGACTTTGCCTGCGAGCATCATGGCTGCAACGTGTCCGCAAGAGTGGAAGAAGGAATGACTCTCAAAGGTTTCCCAAGCCTCCGGAGCTTGGAGAAGTTGGACATCTCCCGAAACAAGTTAAGGAGCTTTGCTGTTTGATTGCTTGTTCTGACCGTCTCTGGCGACCTGTCTCGTCTGCAGGATGCTGCCCGAGGACTGGGGTCAGCTGCAATCATTGAAGAGGTTGGCAATAAGTGGGAACCGTCTGCAGCGCTTGCCAGAGAGCTTTGGAATCTTAGCTGCAACAGGATGCGACTCATCCTGCGTCCCTGCGTGCGATGGGCCAAGAGACCTTTCTGGCGAAACTGCAGCCAAGGTGATTTGATCTCGCTGCAGACCTGCCACCTGCTCCTCTGATGCAAAGCACAGATTCAGTGAGAGCAGCATGCTTGCAAGTGCATCTGCGAGGAACGCGAACGAGCTGACCCAGCTGCCAGAGGCTCCTGCATCCTCTCGTTGCAGGATTAGTATGTGTCTGTAGAAGCGGCTGGCAGTCGTAATTCTATCTGATTTGTGGACTGCCGAGTCGTTTGGTCGGCTACAAGCCTTGGAGGACAGCCACATGCATCAGGCTTTGGTATTTACACAGTCTTGAGACACTCAGGCAATCTCAGGCCGTCGTCAGTGTATGTGATGAAATGACAGGTGGATGTCACATGACATGCAAGCTGCATCCGGTACTTGACCACATGGCTGGAGTTCTTGATGCAAGCTTGCAGGAGCTGTGCTTGGCAGAGAACTGTTTGACGGCGTTCCACCTACACCCGGTGTCCATGCATTTCCTCTACCTAGCTGGAAGTTCAAGCTCAGGTTCTTCCCAGCTCCTTCACACAACTCATTGCTCTTCGGTCCGCTGTGCCACTTGGGGGCACTGGAATGACCTTGTGCGGATGTTGTCTTCATGGTGCGGTTGCCCTCTTTGTGCAGCGAAGGTTTACACGGAATCGCTTGACCTCCTTGCATGAAGATGTCTGGAAGCTGCCGAATCTTCAAGCCTTGGTTCTCGATGGCAATCCCTTGGATGCTTCGGGAAAAGAGGTCGCCCCGCAGTGCGTTGACAAACCTGTATCAAAGGAGGAGGTCCCATACTGTGCCACCAACGAAAGCTGACGGCCAAGTATGTGCTGAGGTGATGGGACCCTCGTTGTTAGGCCAACACTTGGTGAGGATTGATCCGCGCCCGTCTCAGACGACAGCAGTGATGAGGGGTGTTCTGCAGGTACCAGCACTCAGTGGGGGAGCATATCGCGCACACACGTCACACGCATCACTCTACTCGTCCACTCTTTCCTCTGACTTTCTCTCGCTCCATCTTGCTTCTTTGCCCCTCGCACTTGCAGGTGCCCTCTTCGGGGGCGCGAGGTCGCATTCAGGGACGTTCATGAATGCTGTTATTTAGAGCCAAGCCCACACTACGGGGCCATCAGTGCTGCGGCATGAAAGTGATGTGCGTGCTGTGCCTCGGATGTCTGCGACTTGTTCGGCTCCGGCAGAGACATGGGCCATCTGTACCAAAGGTGCGTAGCTGCGCATTCTGTTCCTCGATCTTTCAGCTTGCCATGTAGTTCTGTCTCGGGAAGCGGGCGTGACCGCAATGCTGCTGTTCGCTTCGCCGGCCGCATGCTCGGTGCCAGTCGGGATGCACATGTCCTCTCCAAATGAATCGTGCTCCCATGACGAAGGTCCCGCAGCTTGCTGCCAGAGCCGCCCCTGCTCCACTGTCTGAATCGTCACCTCAGGCCAACAGTAGACTGACCTGTCCACACAAGCGGTCTTTCCAGAAAGCCGACTTGGGGTACAGCTATGCTCCGCTTTGAGCTACTCGACGTTTGTCCTTCCACGATGCACGAAGAGGCCTATGCCAGAGTGAGTGCTCATGCTTCAGACGAATTGCAGCGAACAAGGCCGGTGTGAAAGCTGTGGCAGGAAACCCACGGCCTGCCACCCGCATTGACAAGTGTTCCGTCCGGTGCATCGAAGGCGGAGCAGCCATGTATGGATGGCCCCGCTTGCTGCCTCTGTGGCCTGTGCAGTTCGCGCAGGAGAGCATTCCAGAGCTCTGGGTTCTTAATGTTCCGAGCATAAGGGCATCGGATCTTATTATGGTTTATTATGCAATCACAGAAGAGCTCGTTGGCGCGAAGCGCATAGTTCGTAGTCTGTGCCAGTCCAGAGTTTCCCTGGCCCTGTCGCAGGACGCAGGCGGGTGGCTAGAAGAAGGCGGGGACTCGGTGCCAGGCTTACCCAATACGAGCTTCGACGAAAAGCAGGTCAGTGGTTTTGCGAAGAGCCGCCACAGCCGACTCTATGGATCTGACCTCGATGGGTTCCCTTGCTCCAGCACCAGGAATGTCTGCAGCCTTGCCTAGGCCACCTTGATGGCTAGAGCCTGTCCGGACTTGGCCGCGGCATCTCCGGCCCAATTCGCTTTGCGTGCCTTCAGCTCGAGCAGGAGTCCGTCCAAGTCAGGTGTGGCTTCTCTTGTGAGGAGTATTCAGTGTAGAATGTGATGTGGTTGCAGGTTGCACCGAGCACGAACACTGCGTTTGTCGTCATGATGAGTTTCAGCGAAATCGTCATCGTCATCGTCGTCGTCGTCGTCATCATCATCATCATCATCATCATCGACATCATTTCTCATCTGATCTTGCCGTTCTTGTCCTCATCACATGACGCATAGCGAGGTTATGTTGCAATACAACTAAACCCAAACTACATTCACAACTGTCCGGAGTTGTGAACAGTGTGTGGGTGTAGATATAAGCCGACTGCAATGTGAACCTCCTGTCGTAGGTCGTGGATCCACATTGCACTCAAATATTTTCAGTCTTGCTGTCCCCCATCTGTGTGAAATCTGCATGCTTTCGCAGCATGCGGACTTCGTGTGCTCGCGGCAAGTGGCAGGTGGCTGAGGTTGGAGAAAGCAGGGCCGGCGAGGGACTTGGACTGTTTGCAACCAGGTCGCCCATACCTCAGCTGCTCTGCCATCGCATGGCAGTGGTCAGTTCAAAGCTGGGTCTTGGGAGGTTCAGCGAGGGCGACGAAATCTGTGCGCTCCGCTTAGACAAGGCGGCGATCATGCAGGTAGACCAGGCTGGAAGCCGAGCTTCCCTCGTCAGCTAACGGGTTGTGCATTGTTTCTTTTTGGCGTTTGGCTGCTTTGCTTTGCCTGCCTCTACCTTCGTCGCGGGTCGTGCAAAGGTGTCAGAGTTGCAGACCAAGGCATTGTCTGACAAGCTTGAAGGAGGAGACTTCGCGGCACTGGCCTTCCAGGCCCGAAGGCGGAGGACTTCCTGTCCTCTCATCGGCGTTTCCTAGTGCAGGTGCTGAAGGCATCTCGTTCGGAGAAGCCCCGGCCTGAACGAAGCAAAGGTCTGTGTATCCTGACCAAGCCGAATTGTCACATTGTGCTACTGCTGCTTCCGGTTCGCGGTTGTGGCACAGCTCTCTGGGAGTATGGCCAAGCGATACCATGCGAGCGTCACAGTAGAATCGCTTCATGACTGCTTAATGCTGCCGGCAGTCCTAGTTTCATTGTTTAGGCACTGCTCTGCATCTCCGGATGTCGTTGCCATGCCTGTGGGGAAGAGCAGGTTGCTCCGGGATGACTTTGCCGTGGCAGTGGCAAGGGCATGTTTCGAAGCCTGGATGATGTCCACAAGCCGCCGCACCCACGGCGGCGACGCCCAGTGCTCAAGACTGGAGGCGGAAGTTGCTGAGCTGCGGTCGGAGCTGGCTGAGTCACAGCAGTACCGGACCTTCAGCCAAGCGAAGATAAAGCGGCTGGAGCAGCAGCTGACAGAGCAGGAGTGGTGGCGGTTCTGCAGCAATGTAGACAACTGCAGCGACTCCACAGGGCCCCCGTTCTCACATTCCGGCAGCCCCGTGGATCAGCGACTGCCCGACTGGCAACGAGCCTTAGACCGGGCACTCCTGGAGAGGGATCAGGCGAGGCTGGAGCGCGAAGAGATGCGACTTGAGCTGGCAGCGCTGCAGGCCGTTACACTAAGCCCTTAAACCTCAAATGTGGGTCAGCTTGTCGAGAGCATCGCGGCTGTAATTTAACATAACATAACAAAAATATAATATAATATAATATGCTATAATATATACATATATAGATATAGATATAGATATAGATATAGATATAGATATAGATATAGATATAGATAGAGTTCCTAAATAGCTTGTCCTTCAGGTGCTCTGCCAGGCCAGAGATGTGGCCGCACCTGGACCGGAGGGCCAAAGCACTCGGCCCGCCTCGCCTGCCAAGCGGGCGCTCGCAGTCCGTGCGGAGCTCGCAACTAGGGCTGCAACTTGCGCCGAGTGCCGATGACTCTGTGCGTCATGGGATCGTACCGTCACACCGTGCGATGGTCATCCGCCTCAGGCGGCGGCCGCCAGGCAGCTGGAGGACTGCGTCGCAGTTTTGGGCGGGTCGCTGACTTACTCGCGTTTCGCAGGGCATTCCCTGGCACTGTGTAAAGCCAAAGCCAAAGCGAAATCCTATCTGGGTGCCAAGGCATTCAGCGGGTCTGTCGTCTCCAAGCAAGAGCCCGACCCACTCCTGCAAGTCGACATGGCTGTTGCCCATGTCCCACACAGACTCCAGACCTAAAGCCTGCACCTCAAATGTCAGGGTCTCAGAGCTTCGCTTCGCATAGCCAAGAGAGTACTCCTGACCCGATGCAGGCCGCTTCAGTACAGAGGTCGTCACCCAAGACGCTCCTCCGAAAGACTGGACGTAGTGGAGTGCTGTCTAATGCTGTCTACAGTAGCTGCTTTCTGGCTTCTAGATAGAGCGAAAGTCCTCGGCATCCAAGGGGTGCTGTGCTCCAAGAAGCTTCCAGTCCGTTGCTTTGCAGCAAGCGGGTCCAGTCCGGAGCCTGCTAATATCATGCTAATGGTCTGGAGTATCGTCAAATTCATATTCAGATGGGTCCAGCTTGGCTTTCGTACCATTTAACTTCTCCCGCGGTGTGCAAGTGCTGCAGCCAGACAGGTTTTTTGCTGCCGTAGCTTGGCTGCACTTGCAGGAGTTGTAGGAAGTTCTCGAGACTCCTCCATTAAAACCTGACTGGCCGGTTTAGAATTGGGAGCATTGTGGGAAGGTCCAGAATCTGCTTGACTTTGAGCAGCTGCGGAGCGGGACCTCGCCTCCAGAGCGCTCGGAAGCGATTCAGCAGCTTTCGGAGCTAACTGCCTCTGTTGCGCACAAGGCTTGACGTAGTATGACGTAGTGAGCTCAGTGAGTTGAAGCAGATTTCTTGGGTTACGCTTGGGGATGTCTGTTGAGCCTAGTGTGCCCAATGCCGACAAAGTGTCGGTGTAACATATAGAAGTCTCACTACACCACTTCGCAAAATTTCGCAAATATGCGTGTCAGAATGTGTCAGATAATGACCCTGGCGCATCCCATTAAAAAAGGTATGCCGTGCCTCCTTTCGTTGTGCCGCGCCAGCATGCCGCCCGCGTTTATGACCGCTAATATACAGAGTGTTATATATCAACAAATTAAACAACTAAGTAAAGGAGTATGTGCACAAATATTGGCCACACTTTCTCCTACTCTCCTACTGAAACATGTTGCAGCTGTAGTCAGCAGCTAGGCTTGCTTGCACCATCGGGAAGCATTCTTCGTGCTATGTGCTCGCATTTTTGCGTCTGTCCCAGAAGCACCAGGCCGAGTGCTTGGAAGGACTGGATCAACAGCGGGGTGAGCGCTCCTGACACCCACCCGCCCGGGCCGCGGCTTTGCGATCTGGGCTCCATTTAATATGTGTTGGATGACATGGCCCCTCGGTCCAGGGATATCTCCAGCAATTGTGAGCAAGTTAAGGCTGAAATTGCTGCTGACAGATCCACAGCTGGCGAAGTATCTCTGGACAGCCCTTCGACACCATGTTCCCCTGCCTGCTGGCTTAGTGGGCAGAGTGTCAAACATCTGACAACCTGGAGGAGTTGCACGACTTGCGGTGGCCAGATGTCCGGCACGGCTCTGCAGGTGCTGGATGCAAGCGTCTGGAAATGCCCACAAAATTTCTTGATGTGCAGGTTAGAGACGACATGGAGCAGCTGCAGGGAAGCACGACCCTTGAGGCTGGGGCACAGTCTACTCCGAGCTGCAGCAGCTGCCTTCCGGGGACCTTCCGGTGCTAGGAGTGGACGGATTCCCTAGCATTGACCATGCCAGAGCCACGACACTGTGTAGCTCGGGCGCCGACGAATCCTTGCGGGGGCTCCGAGGTCGAGATCTCTTTGCGAAGATCGTGACGGAAGGTGGTGGCAACGGGAGACGTTGGGAGATTCGCTTCACTCGCTTCATTTTCGCACCTTTCGTGGGGAGGCCTCTCTTGGTCCTCGGCGTTGATCTTCTGCAGGCGTGCCGCATCCTGGCCTCGGTGTCGGCGTCTCTGCCTTCATGTCTGCCTTGTCGTGCAGGCGGCAGAAGAGCCGGTGGTGCAGCTGAAGCCTTACTATGCTAAGGCCCGGCACTCGCCACTGGCCTAGCCTGCCATAGCCCCTTATCCACCGCACGAGTCGAGACCAGAGAAGCTCTTGCTGCATTCCCGACAGGAGGGTGCTGTCATGGGTCTCGGTGGCTCTGGGCCCGAGCGATTCGTGCCTTGGTGGCCACTAGGATCCGGGAGGCTTCTCTGTATTCTTACACCTTCGGGGTCTGAAACAAAAATGGTGGCATGTTTCCCGTTACAGCGCACATGGGTGCGCTCGTTCTAGGATCTTACAGTACAGTGCTGCAGCTCAAGAGCCGCCGCCTGCACCCCCGTCTTTTCATGGCTTTGGAAGTTGCTTAATATTGAGAGCTGTGGGCCTGCAAAGGGCTTGGATGCACTGGGCTCGGTGGGATTCTCTCGAATGATCTCAGATGGGCATCAACGTTGTGGCCATCGAGGACATTGAGGCTCCGACTCTCCGCCTCTCCGCCAGCTCTTGATTGTACTCTCTCAATTTCCCCCTGTCCTGGGAGGTTGGAACGGAGCTGACGGCAGCCTACTTGCCCTTCCCACAGCTCCCACGTGCAGCCCTGGCTGGTCGTGTCTGCCCCGGGAAGAGCAAAGGCCACAGCCACATGGCGGAGGCTTCCTGGAGCGCTTCGGCTTCGTGCGCGGCGCCTGGCTTTTTGCGAGGGATGGGGTTTCTCAGGGAGCAAGTCCGCTTCGAGGCCCCAGTGGCTGCAGGGTGAGCTGGCCGAGGCAGTGTACGGACCTCCCGTTTTTCGAGATGTGTCGCGCCTCGCGCCCTTGACGTAATTTTGCAGTCTGCGGCGCGGCTGTGCTTTGCGCCAGTGGACGATGATGAGGAACGCTTGCCGGGCTGCTGGCCAGGCTGGCCATGGCGCAGAGGAAACCTGTTCCTGCGCAGGACGACTTCGGCGGCGTCAAGGAGAGCTGCCTCGAGGAGAGACGCCACCCTTCTCAGTCCGAACCGTGACACTGTGCTGCGCACAGCGCCATGAAAAAAGAAGCCGATGAAGGCCTGTGCTGCGATTCGTGCTACAAAGATTTGCAAAGCTGAACAGGATTTGGGGCTTACGACAGCTCCCATGTCCTTTGTCTTCAGCTTGAGCGAAGGACGGGGCTCTCACTGACTCAGCTTTTTTGGTCAGGGCAGTGCACCCCTGTCCAGTGAAGGAATCCTGTCGCCACGAGAGTCGGAGGATTGGGATTCCAAATCCGAGCTTGAGAAGGCATCGGTTTTTGGGTGGAATCCAGTTCCGCATTCTAAGTTCTTGTGCCAGATGGTCCACTTGCTCCGCTTTAAGTGCTGCAGTGGTACGGACTCCTTTCTACTGGATGCTGCGTGCAGCCCAGCTTGTCTTGCATTTGTTGTGAGTCACACGGGCGTGTTTGGGACCAGCACGAAACAAACGCTGCCAGAGGAGTGCTGTTGAACATCCTAGGCCCTAGGCTGTTGAGGCCAGGATTGCTGTGGTTCCACTGAGGTCTATGTGAACCGCTTCTGGTACAACTGCAACTTTCGCATCTCCCGGAACAACGAGGCATGGCAAGCCTTACTCGGCACACTCCGCACACTGTCTTCAAACATCTACGGTTGCATCCCCCGAATCCCCCAAGTCGTAGGACCAATAATCCTACCCATTTGAAGAGCACTGCGTCAGCAGTCTGACCACTATTTTTTGCATGCATTGGTTCAACCATACAATAAACCCGAAACAATACTGCAGCATTGAGAAACTGTGAACAAAATTCCGTAACACATCTTCCGGGAGCCTGCACACTGCAGATCGATGTCTGCCAAACCGCCATCGACGAGTGCAATCGGTGGTTGAAGCGGTTTGACGTGGCGGAGGCCGGGTGTTGGGAATCTCAGTCTGATATTTATACAGCACGCAACGAACGCCCGTGTGGTGCCAGACCTCAAACGTGACGTAACCGCCTGAAGCTGATTTCTCTCGAGATCAGCGATGGGAGCCGTGGCCGTGGCCCTCGTGCATAGACATGGAGAAGGGGTCAGCAGATTCGAGCCCGACGTCGCCCCTGAAGAAAAGGAGGCCATTTGCGACACTTTCCAGGCAAAGTGCAACAGCGGAGGACCCAGTGTCACCGTCGGAGCCAGTGTCACCGTCGAGAAGAGGTATATCGAAGAAGAATGCCAGGATCTTAAATGCCTCATCGAGCTCCGCTTTGGCCTTGTTCAGTCGCAGGAAGCTCGCCCTGTGAGGTGGCTCGGGAAGTCAAGAAGCCACGCAATGTCGCAGCATTTGCGGTCTTTGGGGCATGTGTTGCCGGAGCGGCGTGGCATCAGGCGTGTTTCTGGGTTTTATGTCCTATATCAATGCACTGTACATCATACATTCCAAAGTCTGCACGGCTTGCCAGCTCTAGGACCACTTTCTGAGTCAGTTATGCTTGGTCGAGGTACAAGAACGCCGACGAACAACAGACCTCATTGCAGCCTTCGATGTCGGACAAGATCAGCACCTTTCCTCGAAGGACGTGTTCGGAACACGTCCATCCATGTCGTGGCTTCTGTGCAGCTTGCCAGGAGCTGGCCTCGCTTCTGCAAGCAAACGGGGTGGACGTCGGCCAGGATCGGAATAATACTGTAATGTCGTTCGGTGGGCACAGCGGGTAGCGCAACCCTTGGCCTATAAGTACCCTGCCCACGCGCCCCCCATCGCTTCTTCAAAGAGTTTCTTGCGGTCCAGAAGTGCCTTGGCATGGAAAGGGCGTGCGCTCGTCATCGTAGCGGCATTGGGAGTACCGATCTGCGAAACGCGGTTGCCTGCGACTAGGCTTCCTGTTGTATACTGAAGCCACAACCTTACCTTGAACCCCACAAGAGTTGCAGATCTTCGTGCGAGGACCAAGTAATGCGACTGTTTGGTCGAGTGGACGACGAAGGCGACGGCTTTGACGGGGTGGAGCTGACACAGATTCTTCGAATCGTTTCGGGCCTGCCTGCCGTCTCCCAGAGGATTCACGAGGCGGCGGCATCCGGATACAGTTGGCTTTTCGATCTATTTCTCTGTGCAGTTGCTGGTACGGGTCTGTACTACATGCTCGGTCAGTCAACCGCCATGGAGAAGCGCTGGCTTCAAAGCTCTTTCCGGGGCGCTATCCAATTCCACCGCATGGAAAGCAAATGCCAGAAGCTGGATGGCCAGCTGTCCTCACTGGAGAAAGAGCGTACCAGATTGGAGAACAGCCTACAGGAGCTTGGGACTGCAAGCGACAAAACCGAGGAGCGTGTGCGATCCTGGGCCGCACTGCGCCATTTCAGTTCCGGTCGCTTGTTGTGTTGGCAAGCTTGAGGCCTTTCCTCGCGTCTAGACGTGGTCATGCAGAAGCAGAAGGTGACCACGGACCAGCTTCAGACAGAAGTGCATCAGTGGCAAGAAGCCGCAAAGGAGGCCGCCATTTGAGCCTCCGTCTTTGCTGACACGGCTTGTGCTGATGGTCTCGGCAGGCTATGAAGCAAACCAACAACGTCAAGTCGAAAATGGCCAGCATGATGAACTGCATCAAAGGCACGGCCGATGCCACGGAACTTCGAAGCTGATAGAATGTGCCGCATGTCGCCCCTGTCCCCTTGAGGCCTTGAGGCTTTCAGTGGGAGCGGAAGGATGCGGTTTGACAAGGATGGTGCTCAGCAAGGCTTCTGCCAGACCTCCAGTGTGGGTTTTAGTCTCGCAGCTTCCCCGCACCAAGGCCGCGCTCCCCGTATCACATGGGGTCTGCTTTCTTCGTGTCACTGCTGAGGACACGATTACTTTCGGGACCATCGATAATGGCAAGCTGCTCCTCTTTGAAACATCCAAGAACCAAAAGATCGGAGAAGGACGTGATTCTGCTTACCGATGTAAAGAGCTGGAGACCGGAGAAGAGTTCGCTTTGAAGATGTACACTATGGGCAATCTCAGACAAAGGCGTTCCATTCTCCATGACCTTTATGCACATCGTCTGCAGGTCGGCAAGCATCCGCGGATTGTGAGCTACGAGCGCGTGATCGAGTCAGAGACCACTATCTTCGTGCTGATGGAGCTCCTCGCAGGCATGGGCAACAACTCCCTTGAGTGCTGTTTTTGCCTTTGTTTTGTTCTGGGTTGTTTTAAACGTACGGGATTTGAGGTGGCACACTTGTCAGCCATCGGCAGGCAAAGACCTCTTCGACATTATATGTGCGCAGAAGTTGACAGAAGACCAAGCACGCCCTCTGTTTCGGGACCTTGTGCAAGGACTTCAGCATTTGCACGCCCACGACGTCATACACTGTGACGTCAAACCCGAGAATGCCATGGTTCTTGGCAACATCGAGGAAGGGACCGCCCACCTGTCGAAACCTCAGTTGTGGAAGTTTTTGGGGGTTTTTTGGGGTCCTCCGGAGGCTACAGAGGCATATCCTGGCACAGCTTAGAAACCAAGGAAGTTGATCGACTTTGGCTGTTCCTGCTTCCGGGAGTTCGTGCACGAAGAGTCGGAGACGAGGGCATGCATAGTGCAAGACCGCTACATGCCGCCAGAGCTCGGCAGTGCCAAGAACGTATTCCCCACCTTTGCAACAGACATGTGGCGTGTTGGTTGTACGCTCTACTTGATGCTGATGCAGTGCCCGCCCTTCCACGATGATTCCCAGACGCAGGCGGGCATCCAAGCTCGCCAACAAGGTCGCTTCTACAAGCCTGCCGGATTTTCAGCGCCCCTTGCCTGCAAGATGTGCCGCCAAGCTTGGCTGCGGCATGTGCACTTGGACTTTGTTCGCGGCGGCAGTGTTTTCCTGAGGCTTTCGACCGAAGCGCAGGTGTCAACCTCAGATTACATCTCCGTTAGTCGTTAGCATGCCGTTAGCATTGTCAGGGCAGTTTTGCTGTACTGTAATGTTAACTCTTGATTAATAACCCCCC